AGCATTTGTTGATGTATGTTCAATTCAGATTTTTAGTAAACTGCAAATTATATTACTTGTATGGAATATATTGTTTTAAATATACAAAATATGAAAAAGCTGCACAATATTTTAATATACAAGTTGAAAATGTATATAGACAGGCATCATGCCTTTCTTAAATTTGGTAATGAATGTGCCCAAATATACTTTCCTATCTGAACTCAGAAAGTTTATTGTGTCTGTCTACAATATGTGTGGTGTGTGTGCGTGTGTCGCTCTTGCTCGTGCAGGTGCATTTGTTTATGTATATGTATATGTATATGTATATGTATATGTATATGTATATGTATATATATATATATATATATATATATATATATATATATATATATATATATATATATATATATATATATATATATATATATATTTATATGTGTATATATATATGTATATATGTATGTATATATAATATATATATATATAATATATATATATATATATATATATATATATATATATATATATATATATTTTTTTTTTTTTTTTTTTTTTTTTTTTTTTTTTTTTTTTTTTTTGAATGTACAGTATGTTTAACAGAAAATGCATAAGCAGCACAATCCTTTGAAGTTAATAAGTCAGTTCCCTGCACATGTTGGTTACTGATCTAGAACACAGTCTCTCTAATAAAAGTTCCAACTACAATGTTTGATTTAATAGATAAGTACAATGCATAATTATTGGTGACAGAACTGCTCCCAGAATGTGAAAGAGGAATATGATATGAAAAAAATGAGTATTTAATTTTTTTTTAATCCTTTGTACATATTTTTAAAGGTTATGACCTTAGGTATATTTCCAGAAATGTTAAAATTAATTTTGTATGATAATAGCTATTGTTTTAACCCTACAGCTGTGATATATACTTAACTATCTGGAGAAATGTTACAGGAATCACATGGAAAATTACAATATATACTTTTCTGCAAAGTATGTAGCATTTTTGTTGTTTTATTAATTATCTTCTTTCAAGATTTCTCACTGAAGGGTTATAGATAAAGGCTCATGTGGTATAGTATATCATCTTTCTTTTAAATCATGCACACATATACACATAAATGTATAGATAGTTAAATAGTTATAGATATATGTATATCTTAATGTATTTTAATAGGAGGGCTAATAGATATGGATAGTTGAAATGGAAAGTTTACCTTATTAATTATTTGTAAGGTATATTATTTTTTTAAAGCTAACTGGGAACATACTGTATTTTTTTCTGTGTTATCAAAAATCCCATGTTATGATTTGATACAGTAGATTACAGCCAGGCCATTCTAAGTATTAGAATTATTTTGATTTTGATTTTCAACTCCGCTTTATGATTACTCTCTATTGTATGTATAATTTAATACAGTATGATTGATACTTAAAAAGTGATGGTCTGCTTTGGCTTTTAAACCAAGCTGTATATGCAGGTAGGCTGATACAAGTATGTCTATGTGCGTATGTGTGTGTGATTATATGTGATTGTGTAATTATATAGATGGTGTGCAATAGACCTGTTAATCATTGATTTTTTTTATCTAAGGTAGTGTACAAACAAACCTGAAATTCAGTATGAAATATATTACATAAAATTATGTGCGATATTGTACCATTTGGTCACATTAAAGATTATGCTCTATGATTTATGTAGGCAGTTCAATTGGCATGTGAACAGCACTTGTATTGTATACTATATTGTATATCTAGTTCTTAAACTAAAAAAAAACAAGCATTCCATTTTTTCTACTGAATTCATTCCATTGGTTCATATCAGAGTCTGTTTTATTAGATTATTACTGTTTATTAAACCAGGGAAGTTTCTTTTACTCCTTGTTTCCTTGTGATATGATTGATGAGTTTGTTATATGTATTCTTTGTAATTTCATAATAACACTGAAGATGGGTTAACCCATTGGTTGCGGTATTATGCAATATGGCGCGTAATCCCCTAATTTTCATTATTTTCATCTCGGGTGCCGTATGGGACTGCACTTGAGTGTGCGCGCGGGCAGTGGTGCTGCCTTCCCTCTTTCGTGCAAATATTTTGTTTACTTATATCTGCGAAAAAATATGTATGCAAAAATTTGCAAAAACCCTTGCAAATACATGCAAACATGCAAACATATGTAAATGCGCTCAGAAAGAGTGGCGGGTGTGGTTTTAGCACGCGCAATAGGCGAACAACTCATTTGGCGGTAAACAGCCCATCGCACACGCGGGCCCAGGGGTGGTGGGCCTGGGCCCTGTAAGGCCGCAAGGGGAATGCCGGCTTGGCGGCTGATATTCCCTGGCCCACTCAGCTCCCATGCCGCGCGGCCGCCCGCTGCTCGAAGGGGATCAGCTTTTAATTGCACGGTGCATCATATGATGCCATCCGCAGCCAGTGGGTTAATAAACTTTTCCCAGCTTACCGTAATACATTGTAGATATAACAAGAAAAAAATAATTGCTCTCTGAAATTTCAATATAT